GTTTGGATTGGATCCAATTAGGGTCAACCGATCCAATCCGAAAATCTGAATTTCCAAAAAATCTCAATCCGATCCGATCCGATTTAAAGTTCGGATCCGATCCGAATTGATAATTCGGTTTGGATTGGATTGGATTTCGGTTTTTATCCGAATTATGGACACCCCTAGCCAAAACTATTTTTTACATCATCATTTTTTTCCCTATTTTTTTTTCCTAATTTTTAAAACCAAACAATTACAATATTTCTTTCAAAATTAATAAATAAGATTATGATTACACTTTTTCGAATAAAGAATATTGACAACAATTTTAAACAAATAAAATCTATTTAAACCATGCAACGCATGGGATTAATCTAGTTATCATAATAAATCAAATCGGGTCAAGTTTAATTATATTTGAGTCAAAGGTGAGTCCAAGTATGATCAAATACAAATCGAATTCGAGTCAAGTCAAATTCGAATTCGGGTCAAGTCAAATTCAAATCGTGTCATATCAAGTTTAGGTGAGCTCGGAGCCTGATTTAACTGGGTTTATTTGGGTCAAAATGGATTTAATAGACTTTGAATCAGGTAATTTTAGATTTAGTCAGGACTCAGTTTAAATGAATTCAATTTTGATTAGTACTTAGTTTTGAATCAATCATGTAATTTTAAACTATAATTGAGCTATTTTCTATTAAAGTATATAAATTATTTTTCACTCCTATACATCAACCCTATTTAACAAATGTTTTAGAATTTCTCTATTCTACTAGCAATTAAATATAACCCTCATTAACTACACTTTATATTTAAAATCCCCTTTTGGTCTCCACTATAATCAATAAGTCGATAACTAATTAAATAATAAGTTTTGGGTTGGGTTTAATGGGGTCGTGGATAGTTTTGGATCGGGTTGAATAAGAGTTGGGTAAAATGAGGTATTCTCGGGTATAATTGGTTTCGAGTAGTTTTCGTTTCGGGTTAAATTAAATCTAGGTCTTGAATCATTGGGTTTTATTGGTTTCAAATAAACAATGAGTCAATACCAAGTTGGGTTTGGATCGTAAATTACCGGGTAAAATCGATTTCGAGTTAACTTCGGGTTGATTCCTTATCGGATATGGATTGAATTTTTTTGGATCCAACCAGTTCGAAAACAGTTCGGTTTCAAGTAAACCTTTCGGGTCGGGTAAGTTTTTGACACCCTTAAAAACTGATCCGATTGACTTAATTCAAAATAGACTTGAATAAAATTCGATTTAGATTTCAACTTGTATAAACCATTGAACAGTTGAACATAATAATTAAGTGACTTAAATTTAAAATAGATCTTATCTGATTTAATTCAACCTCACCAAACTCGACCTATACGTCTGAATTGACACCTCTAAAGAAATGTTGTAAGCCTATGTAGGCTGTAACGCAATTATACCCATGGTCCATGGATTGTAGGCTGCGGGCCTTAAGACCAATGAAATTTATTTATTTGGGCTGGCTTTCTAGTCCAAGAAGATTACCAATTCTCAAAGCCCATAAAAACATTAAACATGTAGTAATTCAGCCTATTCAAGAGTCATAGGCCCATAAGTTAAAAAAAAAAAAAAAAAAAAAGTACAATTAGTGTACTGAGTTATTAATTAGCAATAAATAGCAAGGGCTTTTCTGATTTAGAAAGTGTTCCCACCTCTCAGTGTGTGTCTATCCAACAGGCCATAAACATTGATTAGTAGTGCTTCTTTACCAGATTTTTGAAATATAGGTGCGACTATGAGCACATATTTTCAAGTTGATAGACCCATATTTCCCCATTATTATTATAGCTCAGAATTTCTATTTAGTTGTTTTGCTTTTAATTTTAAGATGTATTAGTGTATTTATTATTAATACTAATTATGAGTAGTAGCAACAAGCCAACAAATGTGTATAGTTGTAAAGTAATTATACTCACAAAAGAAGTTGATGATTTGGAATCTCTACTACTCAATACTTATTCACTTTGTTATTTAATCCTTCTAGTTAGTAGAGCACGATCAAATAACGGAAATAATTCAATACTTATTCACTTTGTAATTTTAATATTATCTTTTTATAAGATAAAGGAGAAGAACACCATCAAAATAATATTTTTCATCTACTAATATATGCTAATTCAGCTTAGTTAAGCAACATAAATCAAGCTAGCTAATTGAGAGTGAGGAAAAAAGATGAAATAATCTCCCCAAACTAGCTTCTAGTGAAATTTAATCTCGACCTTTAAGTCATAAACAGTGACACACATTCATATATTACCGATAGATTAAACTTTGCTTGGTATTCCGTACAAAATTAAAGTCGATAATATAAGTTGACCACAACACCGTGCAACATCAACCATACATGAATAAACTTGACAGTAATGGTGAGATGAGAAGTGGAAAATTCGTGGCAGAAGCATATAGCACAAATAGGTCTGAGCTTAAGTATGGGATAGAACTTTCACTGTCTCCATTTTCCACCAACCAACCAATATATGGATAATGGATCCGAATAAACACATGTTTTATTACAAATATTTAAAAGATCATCTTCAGTATGGCAAGGAAGGAGGGTACGGTGTACGAGTATTAAAAATATATTTGGAGTCCTATTTATTTATCACAAATTTATTTCGATCACCATTAGTGCATTATCACCGCATTTTATAAATGGACCAAATAACTAGCCAACCAAAATGGACACACTAAAAGGAAAATTAAAATATAGAAAAAGTATGCATGATCACTAAGGACATACACTAAATAAAAAGAGGTGTATTGTTTTCTCAATATATACTTTTAACATGTATGTATGGTATTAAAATCCTTTTTGATCACTCATCATATATTTTAGTTTTTAATTAATCATATCATTTGAATTTGGCCTATTTTATGATGTATGGGTTCTAGTATAATTTTAGATTCTATTTATCTTTAGTTTGCACAGTTTCAATCATATTACACGTAGATGTAAAGTAATAAAATGTTGAGTATCGTATTATCAGTGAATTCATATAAGTTAGTTGTCTTATATTGGAGAAAATGGGAAATTTTGAGACGTAAAAAAACATAATTTAAATGTATAACCCGTAAATGATTCAACTTTTGTAAGCTCGATTACCACTTTTGTTTTCCCGTACGAATAAATTTTGAGATAGTATAGATATACAAAATGAAAAATGATCAGTTCCTTCCCTTATACAAACTATATATACACAAAAGTAAGAGAAAGACACATTTTAAAAACGTATGAACCTCGACTATAACAACCATAAACAAAGCTAATTAAACCAACACTGTCATGCACCCTTAACTTGTTAATAATACTCCATAACAATGAAACTGGAGACTGGACAAAGACAGACAATTGGTAATTTGATCGGTAGATTCTTAGTAGAAGAATCAACGGATTTAGGCGTTGGTAATCACACGACTGAAAGAAGGTGACAAAAGATATTCTCGAATAGAAACAACTCACGGATTAAATGTAAGACAATAAACAGGTAATTGGGTTGGTGTTTTGTGCGTCTTGGAGGACAAAAAACAGTAGGCAACCCGTGAGTGTTGTTAATACTGCTAATTTACACATTTTAAAAACCCTTAATGTCATATTCTATGATTCAAATGCAGCCCAAATATTTGTTGTTCTAGTTTAGCGTTCACATGGATTTAATAAAGCTTGAATGCAACATCTTATCAAAATGACAATTTTTATGTACTAGATTACCCCAATCTCAACAATGACTCTTGTTCGTTTTATAATGCATTAGCCATCAAGCTAGGTAAGTTGATGTGGTTATTACTTAGTAGGTCGGGACCAATCGCTCAAGTAAGTGCAAATAAAATACGTAGTAATATACTTCATAATAATTAATAAGTTAGATATATTTAGAAAATAAAATATGGTTCGTTTACTATGGGCCTGTTCTATTCAGTTCAGCTCCAATCAGTTCAATTTAGTTCAATTCAGCTCCAATCAGTTCAGTTTTGTTCAATTCAGCTCCAATCAACTCTATTCACAGTTCAGCTCCAATCAGTTCAGTTTAGTTCAATTCAGCTCCAATCAGTTCAGTTTTGTTCAATTCAGCTCCAATCAACTCTATTCACGGTTCAGCTCCAATCAGTTCAGTTTAGTTCAATTCAGCTCCAATCAACTCTATTCAGTTCATTTCAATTCAGTTGTTTTCAGTAAATCGAAACATGCCCTAAGTCTGTATAAAAGTTTATAAGTCTAGATTACATAAAATAAAATGGGATAAGAATTAATATGCACTTTAGAACTTCCAATAATAATTATGCATAATTTATGATTTAATGATATTTCGTACTAAAAATTGTTAACAATGTTGTCCAAATTTATATAATTTGCAATAAAGAATAGTACGGAGTAGAATACTTCTTTGTTCATACTTACATATTTTTATACTTTCTATTTCGTTCGTTTTATAATATAATTGACACATTTTGACTTTAATAAATTTGACTATTAATATCTTATGATATATTACTAAGAATTATAAAATTATACTCCGTATAAAATTCCAATTACATCCTACTTACCTAATTATTAACATATTAACAAAGTAATAAAAGTATGTGAATTATCAATGTACAACACTTACAAAGGCTACAACTACATGCCTTCAGTAGAGGGAGTAGAAAAGTATTACAGTAAGCAAGTAATTAAAATTGAAGCATCAAATCTAAAATGGAAGAAGACAAGAAGCAGTTGAAGTTTGTACATTAACCAAGTAATTAATATTTGTAATTTCACAAATGATTTGCTAATTACAGTCTTGGTCATACAACACACCCACTTGATAATAAAAACTATTAAATAAATAATAATATTCTAATCATATATACTACCTCTGTTAGTCTGTTACAGATTATGTACAACGATTTGACATAAAGCAGACAGAAAAAATGTCTAATCGTTGCACATAAATCAGAGTAATATGTTTGTCGTGATCATCAACATCGTGATCAGGAGCCTTTCTGCTACTCTTATTATAAGCTGCACTTCACTTCATTTTTTCAGAGTAGTAGTTGCTCTTCTAAGAATCCCAACGTAACGTTCACTTCATTTTTTTCCACCACTCCATTTTCTCTCTCCTCCATTTCCTTCTTTCTTTCTCAATTTCCTTCTTTCTTTCTCAATTTCACTTTTTCTCTCTCCTCTCCCTTCAATGGCGACTGCTTCCGCCGACCAGGTCACATTTCTCTAACCATTTTCTTTTTTTATATCAATTTTAATTACAACATTATAGGAGTTGATTTGATTTGATTTTATTTTTCATTTGAGAGAGGTTCAATTGGAAAAATAGAAGGCTTAATTTGGGTCTGTATCAATGTATTTGTGCATGGTACATTCGGGTGTATAATAATGCACATCAATATTGTATGATCATATCATGTTTGAATTTTGTTCTGTAAAGTTGAATTTTAGCTTTTTTAAAAATTACTCAGTAAATTTCCTGTTAAATTTGAATGTTTCAGATTAATGAATATGATTAAAAATGCATTTTCCGGGATAATTATAAAGAATTAAGTGTATTTTAAACAATTCATTGGTTTATGGAGGCGGAGTGCTCGATGATTGTGACTTTGAATTGTGTTGTGATTTTCAACTTGTGTTAACAGCTTTTTTTGAGTTGGATGGTTGGTGTTACAAATTGCTAAAAATGTCAACGCTGAATTTCTGACAACTAGCAATCAATTTTTCTTTTTACTTTTTGAAAAATTTATTATTGATTCATTTAATAAAGTTGTAGTCGATAGGATGAAATTGAGCTGTTAGAATTCATCCTTCTTGATTGGGGAGTAAGAATTCAAGTATAATTTAGAGTCGGAAATTTAATATTATATTGAGTTTGTGAGATTGATTGAGTATTGGATTGAATCACAGGATTTTTGTCGAATTTTGGTGCGGAGTGATAATGAGCAAGGCAGCATTGCAAACACAAAATGTGGGTTGCAATCAGATAGTCAGGCATGTGTGGATGCTTCAGTGATATGCCACAAAACTGTTGATGATAAGAATTCAGGCTCGTTTCCTTCTTGCTTAGTTACAGTTGATATCGAAAAGGGTGTTAACGATGCTTCGAAAATTGACCAAGACACTTGTGGGAGCATCAAAACTGAGATTTCATTGACTGTAAGTAATCCACAGTCCCACAGACCACAGTGTGTGTAGATGGATATTGGCACTGTTATCCGCCTTTCGTAAAGGCTAACTATCCTGTATTTTGTCTTGTTTTTCAGAAACCGCTAAGGAGACAGAACAGCATACAGACAGGAGGAGAATCCATACCACCTTTAATGAACCACATCCTCATGTTGCTCAAGTTTAATGCCAAAGGTAAAACCCACATTTTGACTCCCCACTATTTGTGCTCTGTTGATGATTGCTAAATGCCAATGCTTCGAAAAAAGTTTGATGATCCCATTAATTATGAGTTTTAGAAATAGAAAACTGTAATTTAGTGGTTTTTTGTACTTCTCTTGTACGGAGCATATGAGTTTTGTAAAGGTTGATAAAGCTTAGGTACCACTATTCAGGAACTTGTTTACTTTTACATAGCTTTGGTGTTTTAGTTTACGATTGAGGTTTTGGTGCATTCGTGTACAAATTCTTTAGCATATCTATCTAGGGGTCAACTAAACATGAGCTAACTCTTCTTCTTGCTTATTTTCTATAGACAGGCAACCAATGGAGAAGGCATACAATGCTACTCATAACCGATGGAGAAAGTATAAACGTACAGGTTTATTTGATTCACGACGTATTGTCCTCCTGTTCTCCATTCTGTAAGCTCCAAGATCTTGCTCTTCCCTTGATACATCACTTCTAATTACAGTCTTAAATTTGAGTGAGGTTACTTCACATGTTTCTGCTGGCTGTCTGGCACCAACATACAGTATATGATATGATAATGAAGCCTAAAGTATTATGTTCTATTGACAAGCACCTCCCATTAAAAAAATAAAAATAAAGAGAGAAAAAAAGGGAAAAGGAAGAATATAAATAGATAAATGAGCATCTTGATCTGCTATCTTTACACTTTTGGAACAATTATATATTCTGCAAGAATGGAATAATATCTACTATTTGATCTGATCTAACTATAAAAAGTATATCTCATACAAGTATAATTTATAATTATGTTTACCATTAAAACCTTAAACTATATCTTACACTTGATCAAATACCATATATCTAATGATTTACTGAAGTGGGTTTCCATGTTTTTTCCAGGTCGAGTATGGGTACAATAGTCTTGATTTTTCTAACACTCCGAGTTAGACAAGTCAGTGAAGGCTATATTCATGGCTAAGCGACTGCAGATTTGTTTCTTTATCTTATTTTATATTAAAAAATCTCCTGTTCCTAGTTTTATTTGGAGATTTTTGCTCTATGGCATTTGTATCTACTCTTGCTTGGGCATTATCTCATTTTTTTTCCGGTGTACATATACCGAGTTTAGTGTTTGCTGCACCTGCAGTTTCCTTTCGTTATTTTAGTTCCAATGTTCCACAAAATGATGGTATAAATCATACTTGTATGTATTAAATTTCCGATATCTAATCAATTTGACAGTCTGTATAGACTATAGAGCACAGAAATACAATCCTATAGATCTTTAGGAGCATACAAATATGGATTCAAAGTGAAATTATGTAGTATCATTTCTATAACTGATATGGTAACTTAACAATCTCAAAGACTACATTACAAGAAATCCTCAAAACAAAACAGCAAAATATATAGTTCAATAATGAATCGGTGTAAGTGAAACAATGGGAAAAAAGGAAGCTATAATGTTTACAAAAAGTGGGCAAAATGAATGGCTGCCCTCGAAAAGTCAAAGCCAAACCTTTTACAAGATGTACCTTTTAAGTGTAGAACAAGTTGATTAGTATATAGGACATGAAATGGGGCCTGGTGCAACGAACTCAGACCCTTAATTGTCGAGCTTGGCCCTTTATGTTCACCTCCTCTTTTCCTTTTATGAACAGCTTCTTTTACCTCACAAAATCCTTAATCTGTTACAAATTAACAAGCGCAACCACCTCCCTGTTGTTCTGATTGGGATGAACTACTGTTAGGTTTCAAATTCACATCAACCATATCCTCTTGTTTGGTGGATGACAGGGTTTCCATCCCTGGCAAGGATGAGGCGATCTTACGGAATAAAGGCTGTGACATATATAGTCAATGCATTAGTTACGTGAAATTTCCATGCTCATCATAGCTGCAGATTTCTACTGTAATACGGAGTAAATAAAAATGGAAACATTTCCTCTGACCTTATAATTGAGAATATAACATGAACGTACTAACTTAACTTTGTGATAGCTGAACCAATTCTGTTCTCTTCCAATTACTTACATTTAAGTTGTGCATATTTGCTAATTTAGTCATAAATAAATTATTTTACATAAGAAAAGATAACCCCTTATCTGGACATCCTAGAATATAAAGAGACTCTGACTGAGTAATAAACATACCTTTATATTGAATCCTGCTTTTGCACTGGTCTCCAGGAAAATTACCCCAGCATCACGAGCCTTGTTATCTCCTTCCTCTATAGAGACTTGCCTGTTCAAATCTTCAATGTCAAAACATTCTAGCATAAACACTTTAAAATGCTATGCAACCAAATCCTGGCCTTATCTTGTTATTAGTAAAAAGAGATCCTATCATTCATGAAAACCAGGAAAATATTCTGGTTCTCCCCTTTGCCTGATAGCAAGTAGAACTTTTGTGTGATAGCATTTCTCAAATAATCAATGGTGGATTAACATATGAAAGAGAGAACATAGACCATAGCAAATAATATACACAGAAGTGAACAAAATCCCCACCTTTTCTCAACCAAATCAGTTTTATTTCCAACTAAAACAATAATCACATCGCTGCCACGTTCTGTCCGTACTTCATCAATCCACTTTGTAGTGCTGAGAAATGATTGCCTATCTGCATGAAGAAATTGGCTACAGGTTTATTATCAACAAAAAAACCAAAGAGAAAAACTTTGGTTCAAGAACAAGCAAGTTTCAGCAGAAAGTCAGAAACATTCCTTAAACAATCATCATAGAACTGATAGAAGTACATTACTAGTACATAGTTTCACAATTTCACCCATGTACGTGTGCATTAAGGAAATGTAGACATGTACGAATTTCAGTCAGACAATTACATCATACGCAAATCTTTCATGCGTCCTTAAAGCATTAACATGTAAAAATGATCAAGTTTGAAGTCATTAGCATACAAAGCACTTACTAGAAACATCATAGACAATAACAGCAACTGAAGAGTCTCTGATGTAACTGGGAATAAGACTCCGAAATCTTTCCTGTCCAGCAGTATCCCTGGAATTGGCAGTTAAAGGTTCAGAATATGGGATAGAATCATACAAATCATGTGTACAAGACACCAAATTATATTGGTAAATCAATACGTCATTATGACTTATGAGATGGGAAATCTGGATATGTATTTTTCTGCAGTGTAAGCAATGAGCTCAGGGTGCTTAAGAAATTTGTTTGTTAATGCTTTAACATGAATATACATTATCAATATTAATTTGTTTGTTACTGTGTAAACATGAATATACATTCTCAGAATAAATTTATTGGTTACTATTTTAACACATGAATACAAATTTGTTTGTTACTGTTTTAACATGTATACATTCTCAGAATAAAAATTTGTTTGTTATTGCTTTAACATGAATACACATTATTAGTATAAACAATGAAATTTGTATGTTAAAGTATCATACCAGAGCTGCAAGCGCACTGTTCGGTCTTCAAGATACATGGTTTTCGACAAGAAGTCAATCCCAATAGTAGCCTGCCATTACATTGACAATATTTTAAAAAATGTTAACAAGTCAAAACACATGTATTTCCTAGATTTCAATATAAATCAAATACACATTAAAGTATTAAACAATACCAAAGCATAAGAGTTGCACATACGGCTATACCAGCATGATTTCATAATGATGTAACCTGAAGTTTGAATGGCCAAAATTCTTTTGAAGTATTACTTTATAGTTTATACTCGTAGGATATTAAGATCTCACTAATTTCCAATTCCAAACTTGTCCATTAAATATTAAGAAATCTGCACTATATATTCTATATATTAATCGGTCCAACTCTAGGATGAGAAACATATACTGCATAAGTAAAGCATACAAATTTGACAAGGAACTGCAAATTTTATTACAGGAAGTTGAACTCGTCTCCTATGACAATGTAGCTGATATCATCATAAAAAATCATGGCAACCTATAACTATATTGTTGCCAATGAAGTGCAAACTATCATTTAGTACAAGTCATGCCTCCCACAGAAATTTTTTGAAAAACAGAACTCGGTATCATGCATCTTGGTTTCATCAAAGACGTCCTTCATTGACTTTAAACCTTCAAGTTTCTTGATGGTGCAATATACCAAATTACTTATTACTAGTAATATATATAATTATGGAAAAAAAAATCAATTTTGATGACCAGTATCTGTATCATACCCGAAACTAGATGATCCGTACCAAATTTATCCTGCCTAAAACTAAGGTTGGGAATCTTGGGATTGATCCAATTTAGCACCTGAAATTAAAGTCACCAGACCAAAACAGAAAAAAATGACCCCATTGTCACCTTTAAAAGCCCCTACTTGGAGTCATGCCTCTGATTCTATGATCAGTCAACAAATTACAGAACCATGCACTTGATGAGGAAAGACAATTCTCTTCATAAATTATAATTCTGCTCCATATTATAATAAAATTACAATTGTATCTTAAATTAATGAAAATTCTCTTTAAAAATTTGTAATCCTAGCGTGAAACAGGGTAAGTTAGACACAAATACACAATTCAATTAAAAAAAACAGGAAAATTAGGCATGTAACATATCATATTATCTATGTCAAAAAAAAAAAAAAAAAAAGAAATATTATCATTTAAGGACAATTAGACAAACTATTATCAATTTCAAAAACCTCAAAACTGAAATTCAGCAACAATTCCAGCATGCATCAATCTCAATTTGAACCGATCAAAAAGAAACAAAAAAATCAATGACGAAAAACCTAAAACCGACGTAAAATAAATGATCAACCGCAATTTACAATCCAACACATTTCAGTCAAAATGCAATAGAAATTGGAAGGATTTGCAACAAAATAAAATTATGATAATCACCATAAAATGATAATAAAAAGAGGGAAACCTGGTAAGTGGTATCGAATTTATCGTACATAAAACGAGTAATGATGCTGGTTTTTCCAACAGATTGATCGCCTAAGAAGACGAGTTTGTATTTGGCTAATGGTGAGACGACCGCCATTAATGAGTCCTTGAAGCTAGAAATTCAATTTCAATTTCAAATATTTTTTTCTCTCTCCTCCTCTCTCTCTCTGAGAGGTAGATGGTAGATCTGAATCTGCCAAAAATGGTTGAGAGAGAGGGAAAAAGGATGGACGCGGTGTGCAAACAAGGTTGGTTTAAACGGGGGAATTTATACAGCGTGGGAGAAGAAACCGCCAACGGACGGCATTAACTTCTATTTTTTTCAACTTGGAGCCCATTCATCTTAATGATAAACAAAATTTGTTTAATTAATGGCAATTTTGTAAATATATCAACAATTCATCCCAATCACCATGATATTTTTGTAAATAAGTGAACAATTTTTATTAATATGCGGGTCCCATAAATATTGACTTATTTACGAAAATGCCATGCTGACTGAGATTTTTTTATTGATTTATTTACGAAAATGTCATTTGATAAACAAATTTTGTTTATCATCAAAATAAACTTGTATTTTCTCCTTTTATCATCCTTCCTTGAGTAATACGGGGTAGGAAAAATAACGTGTTATATGTGCGGCTTATTACACCATGTGATCACTTATAAAAGAATAAAAACCGATTAGCCTAGCATAAATATTTTCATCTACTTCTAAGTTCTAACTATGACAGCGTGGTAATTTGTTGGTGGTGGTGCATGTAAAATTATAGAAATTAGGGTGATTAAAAGTGACTCTTGTGTGATAAAGATGAAGATCATTTTTCATATCAAATAACATAGGACACTTAAAAATAGTATAACATTTTTTCTTATACTAGGTTTAAATCGGATTTTACAACTCATAAGAGCATTATTCTTTATCATTCATACGAAGTGTATTACTTAAAAAAAATAACATAAGTATAACAAAAATAAATTAATTTGACCAATTTTTTTATAAGAAAAATCAATTTTTTAAGCGAAAGTCAAATAAGCTTAGAGCAAGTTTAGCCCCAAGTCTTAAGATTTAAATATGACATCATTTTTTGTGGTCCCCATTGAAAAAGATGTCATCAAATTCGTGTTAAGACTCACTAAGACTTACACAAATTTATCCCTTTAGCCCTAAGACTTAATTATTTGACATATTATATGTAAAAAAGTATATAAAAAAAGGGGTAATAAAAATAAAAGTGAAGTGGGTAAAGTGGGTCCCAATCTCAAGTCTTGAGATTTTTGAAGAAAAATAGGAAAAGTCAAGTATAAATCTTAAGACTCAATTTAATAATGTCACCCCAAGTATAAAGATTTATGTAAGTATCCTGTTATTATTTTTTTGGGTGTTTAAAGAGCCACAAGGGCGGGGGTGAAAATCGATCCCAAGATCTCCTAGAATAGGGAGGGAAGCTCTAACCACTTGAGCTATCCCCCACTCTCTCCTATCCTGTTATTATACATCAAGTGTATGATTACATAGTTCATTGTCATCTTTAAAATGAAGAACGAATTGATACACTTGTACAAGTCTTTTCACCTTGCTTTAGGTTGTGATTCCTCTTTATTTTAAAGTCATACTAAGTATTCGGGAGCAATGCCAAATCTTTGTTGAGGCTAATAGAGATCATAACTTATCATTATAAGTCATATGATAGAATGCGAGATCATTGAAGTTAAATCAACTATTCCATTTTGATCAGTTAAGAAAGTTAAGCGTCAACTTGGGAAAAAGCTTCTCTAACATGACGAAAGCAGCTCAAACAAGAGAAACTTGGAACAGTTCGGAAATTATATGGATCATTTGGTACAAAATCTTAAATACGAAGTAACAAAATTAGCTTATGAATAATTGTAATAATCAATTAGGAATGCATATATCATTTGGTACAAGATCTTGATGTGAAGTAACATAATTACTTAATTAGCTTATGAATAATTGTAAGATTACAAGTTAGGAGTATTTAAGAAGGAACGTCCTAAGCAATGCAACCACGCACACAATCATAGCAGAGTACTTGGCAATTAGCATACTATTGCATTATAATTAGACATTAGATTAAACAAGCCTAAATGTTTTTTAAGTTCCTTCTTTGTTCTTTTGTTTTCTGCTGTTGTAAAAATAATAAAATAAAAAAATTTAAATTTAAAAATAATAATAAAAAAAAAAGGAAAATCAGATCCAGTGATATCTACACAAAGGGAATGCAAAAGCAGCTCCTTATTATATGCGTTCTTGCACATGCACACACCTTCAAGACATCTACCTACTTATGCGCAGTAAAATTAACCAAAACTATACAGCAGTAATCTCCTACATGCCCCCTAAGCCCTAATATAATTACAATCTACCCCAACTGGTAACCATAACCTGCAAAAAACACTCGGCTCAATACCATGCTTCATTTAAGTTACATTCACGGCATTAGAAATGGCCCTATACCAATAACGTTAGAAAACTTCTTCTGGCGTCTCTGAAGACACCAAACTCAAAAAGAACAACAATCCATCTTACCAAAAGTCTAAGCTGGTTTTTTGCTCAATCAGGCAATGTATGACTGTATGAGTCACTATGGACCATATTAATCAATAAACGCAAAGTTTATGACAAAAATGAAAGTTGAACCTTTGAAAGCAAATTTAGTAGAGACAGCATTATCCTATTGTCGACCAACAACCCCATGCAACATTCTCTAATATTAATGCAGCTTCTATGTGACTTTTGAACCACAGCATAATCTTCTGTTGGAACTGTAAATTGTGTGGTGTGCAGCAACAGATGTTCTAAGCAACAATCTGAGTTGTAAGTATCAAGTTGATTGTTGTATAACCTCAAAGCCAATACTGACTATACCTCAACCCAAAGAATATTTCAAGTTTTCTGTCACTGTCTGATCGTGATCCGATATCTGTGACAGATACAAGTCATTCAACTACCCTCAAGTTGTCTTCTCATCAAAAAACCACAAACTCATCAATCATACATTTACTACAGCCCTATCCCACCCCTGAATTTCGTTCAATAAGACCAGCAAAAAAAATTCCTCATAGTTATAAACCTTCACTGTGAAAAGGTAACCATGAAGAGCCCAGTACCTGCAGTTGAAGCAAAAAGCCAGGAGAGTGACAGCAATAACGCAGATCAAATCATACTTCCCACCAGAATCAACAATGTAGATTACACATTTGAGAAGAACGGTAATTCATGGTAAAGACAATAATTTGTTTACGTAACTTGTAGCAGCTGGTGAATTCCAACAATGGCTACAAGAGCATTTTTTCTCACATTTCACAGAGCACCACACACACCCCCACCCCCCAATTTTCTTCTACATACCATTGTTTTTCTATTGCATTGACTCCCTCCAACAAGTGCTTTTTTCTTTTTTGTTATATGCAGGTTCGTGACTTCTGATATCCAGACTGATCTATCAATTCAAATCGAAGAAAACACCTTTCACATGCATAAGGTAAACTAAACATATTGAATGTTGTTTAAAGAAACCAAAAAAATTTATACTAACCAAAAAAAAAATGATTCACAAAAGCTATTAAATCCCAAAATTTTCTTATATCCATAATTAAATGCTCCGTATAATTATCTCCAATTCCCAATTTGAGCTTTAGGAGTGCACCTATAAAATTGTTGGCAACGTCGTATAAAGCTGAGAGTATTAAACCTTCTACATTTTGGGTATCTTTGGGGAAAAGGAGGGGGGAGGGGGGGATCTCAGCCAGTAATACTATACATCTCCACAAAGGGTCCACAAATTAAGGGTACAACTGTGATTTGGTATGACACTTAGATTAGGGATGCTAGGGAGCAGGGTAGAAAAGGTTAAACAATGGTGTATGTTCAGATTAGATTTTCAATCAAGAAAAATAGCAGCACTTTCCCAATCCCAGAGGTTCCATTAGATATACATAATCTCCTAATCCACCTCTGGTTTTGATATCAATTTATCACTTACCTTAACAGTTTTATATTGATACAGTATGCACTACTTACAAAGAGTGGTTACATAAGCCGGGTAGCATTTCAGCCCACAAGTTCAAGTTTAGAGCACAACATCAAACTTGACAACTTTCCAGGAGGACCGGCAGCTTTTGAAGAAGTAGCGAAATTCTGTTATGGCCTTCCCATAGATCTAGGCCCCAACAATGTAGCCCCTTTGAGATGTGCATCAGAATATCTAGAAATGACAGAGGAATTTGAAGATGGAAATCTAATATCCAAAACAGAAGCTTTTCTGACATTTATAGTACTAGCTTCATGGAGAGACTCAGTTATAGTTCTCAAAGCTTGTGAGAAACTATCTCCCTGGGCAGAGAACCTCCAGATTGTAAGAAGATGTTGTGATTCAATTTCGTGGAAAGCTTTTCAAGACAAGAATGAGTTAGTTGATGATGAGGCTTGGTGGTTTGATGACATAACAACCTTGCGGATTGACCACTTTGGCAGAATAATAGCAGCATTGAAATCCAAAGGTACTAAACCAGATATCATAGGTTCATGTATCAAGCATTATGCAGAAAAATGGTTGCCAAGCATGGATGGGAATGTAGAAGGGAAAGGACGGCATTGTTATGCAAAAAGTGAGCGGCATTTCAGTATTATAAGTGGGATGAACCAAGAAGGTGACATCAGCCAAAATAAGGAGCAAAAGATGATTATAGAAAGCATCATCAGCATACTGCCACCTCAGAAAGAAGCTGTTTCCTGTAAGTTCCTGTTATGGATGCTAAATATGGCTATGATATACTCTGCAACACCAGCTTTAATCTCAGAGCTTGAAAAGAGAGTAGGGTCAGTCTTGCAAGATGCCGATGTCCAAGACCTCCTAATTCCAAGATATCATAACAAAGATCGAGGGAAGCTGATAAAGTAAGTTCAAGGTTATACTTTATCTTAGAATCACCTTCTCTCAAGATTAGAAAATTTTAATCTATTGGGAATAACTTAAGATCTTAGACACTTAGCAAAAAACTCACCTAGTTTAATCTTCATTTAGGCACCTTGATTACTCTTAGATGTCAAGTCATAGCTCAAATCATAATTGATAGAATTAAGACTTGAAATGCCCATATGGCCATATTATGACTTGAAAAGCCAAAAATACTCAATTGTCAGATTGAATTATGAGTTTATGATTTGATCTAAGAAATCTTATTTTCGTCAATAACACAGACTTAAGATTATAAGTCATAATATTGCCAAACTAGGTTATATGGAGAAGTAATTTGGTGGTTCAACAATTTACATTAAACTAACCATACCAGTGTTCGGCACAGTTCACCAGAGGAAAAGACAATACACAACACAGACACTGTGCAGCGAATAGTGGAATACTTTCTGATGCACGAACAGCAACAACAGCAACAGCAGCAGCAGCAGAGGACTGAAGAACTAGAAGTCAGTAAGCTTCTAGACAACTATTTAGCTGAAATTGCAACAGACCCCAATCTCACTATCTCGAAGTTCCAAGTTCTGGCAGAAGCATTGCCAGCAAATACTAGACTATGTCATGACGGTCTATATAGATCAATTGACACCTATCTAAAGGTAAGCATTCCAGCCCAGCTTCTATGCCAACTTCAATGAGAAGCAATTTATACAGTCTACTTATAAATTCACTGGATCAGAGCCACCCTTCACTAATGGAGCAAGAGCGTAGAAGGCTGTGCAGGATAATGAATTGTCAGAGGCTGTCACTTGATGCTTGCATGCATGTGGCACAGAATGATCGACTGCCCTTGAAAACTGTTATACAGGTACTACCTTCAGCTTTAGAAGCAGCTAATCCTATCTTTCACACATCACAAGTCATAGGCAGAGAGAGAGAGAGAGAGAAGAGGGGGGGGGGGAATCCACTTAAGTCTTTGCATAAAACAAAGCCTTGCAATATAGAATGAAAATCAGATAAACATGAGCACAAGCTCTATGTTCCATCAGTCATTCAATTCAAGCTTCCAAAAGGAGGGAAAAGAAGCAACAGCTTCCAATTTCAATGCCTTGGCAATTGTATGAGGAAAATTTTAAAATCTAGTGCTCCATACATATTTTTAATTTAAAAACTATATAAAGATATAGGAAGCTCAAGACAATAGCCACGAAGAATCTCAAACATAATTAAATTTCTATCCAAATCTTCAACAGGTTCTGTTCTCAGAGCAAGTGAAGATGAGGGCGGCTATGCAAAGCAAGGAACAAACAACTGATGGCAATGATCGTGAAAATGATGAAAGCTGGTCAACTACAAAGAAAGAGATGACGACTCTTAGAACTGAGCTTGAGATAGTAAAAGATAGGATGTCAGAACTGCAGAGAGACTACTCTGAGCTCCAACAAGAATATATAAAGCAAATCAACAAGCAACGGAGCAACTCAGGCTGGATTTTTCGATGGAAGAAAATAAAGAATCTATCTTTTTTTACAGAAAAGGCCATGGAAGATATTGGAGATCAACAAATATCCAACCAAGAGAGAAGCACACCTAATACTGGGAGAAGACAATCCATTCACTGAGCAATTATCTACGTGAAGTCAGGAGATAAAAAATGTCACTAGAAAAATTATGTTCTCGTCATCATAGTAATCACCAAAAAGTCTTCTCCACATCCGTTACAGCCCAGCCCATGCTGTCATACTACAAAAGTATTTTATCTCCAAGAAGGGAAAGTACAATTTATGTATGATCTTGTAAGTGAACCAAAACAATAAGACAATGAAGAAGTTGAGCACAAGATTTTAGTACCAAGCAGATAATGGAGCACTCAAGATATCTTGAATACAAATTTTTTTTAAAAAAATATATATATAAAAATGGTGAACAATAGCGTAATGTCTAGCATGCCTATTACATTAGTTTCAGAGATAGGTTTCACAATAAACATCTCAACTCCATGTCAATGACGAGATTGGGGTTTTTTTTTCCTTTAAAATATAAAGAAATTCACAACACTCATTGCCTTTTACAGATTAAGCTTACTACTAAATTTTTCTAAAATATGAAAATGGGTTTGGATATTAGTCCCTTTTTCTATACCGAACGGTTCCTTATGACCATTCATATTAGCCAACCCCAAATCATTTTGGGACTAAGGCTTTGTTGTTGTTGTTGTTTGGATAGCCCATCAGACCATGAAGAAAGAGGAGAGTGAACCCACTATATGCCCAAGTAAGCTTCTACCCCAAAACCATTTGATAAATTGCAAGATAAAGGGAGAATTAAGTATGTAACTCCCTAAGAGTAGAAGGTGGTAAGCTTCTTACCTTCTATCCAATGAGGATAATCTCACACGTACAACTAGCACACTTAAATGGGATTCGACACTTACAAACTATGTCATAACTATGTACATACTATTACTGATTCATAACATAGATAGCATCAACAATTGAGATTTGAGAACAGATTGTCAAAGAGAATCACATAGCTGTGAGAACATTATTACTGAACACCAACAATTCGGCACTTTTTCAACAACCAATATAAGTCGCCACGATCCCAGTAATCCAAAACATCAATGGCAGCATTACCACTAAAACAGCAGCAAAAAAAATCTCAAATAACTCTAATAGATAATATCATGATAAACAACAACCTTATCAAGTTCCTCATGCTTAAAACTAATGAGCAACAAAATACCAAAAGTAAAGCATCTACCTAGAAGCAGCAGGGGTCCTCTTCATACTAGTCCACGGGAATTTCGCCGTCTCAGGAGCACCACCAGCAGTACGACGAGGGCGTGGAGGAGCAAATCCCCCAACACCACGGCGGTATCGTGGAGTGGCCTTATCGGGTCGGTTTCCATCGCCTTCAAGCCAATGAGACCTCTTCTGACCCTCAGCCTCAACAATGCTAGTCTTAGACTGTTTATTCAATTCCTTTTTATCATCCTCAATCACCTTAATAGGGAAAAGATCAGGCGAAATTGATAAAGGGGTTTTTAGGGTTACGAATGCTTTCTTGTAATCGGGTTTAGCAAGAAGAATACCACCTCTTTGCTTCTTCTTTCCTTCCATATTTAGGGTTTGAACTTTTTCGACTTCGAATCCATACAATGATTCCAAAACCCTCTTGATTTCGATCTGCAAAAATTGAAATTGATCAAATTAAAATCGATAAAATTGGGAAGAAATTAAGAGGAAAATGAAGATGAAGATTAATTTGTGAAAATACCTTGGAAGCAGAAGGGATTGTTTTGAGAGAGATTTCGGTGATGTTGGTGAAGGAAGAAGGCATAAGGAGCTTGATTGGGAGGTTGGCGAAGTGTACTACTCGTCTTCCTAATCTTCCCGCCATTGCTGCTGCTTCTTCTTCTTCGATGTTTTTGTGACGAGAGTTGATTTTAGAGAGAGTTGCAGATGAAGCTGCCAAAAACCCAGCTTAAACCCCAGAAAAATGAGTCTAGTCAGGAGAAATTGGGAATTTGGGAGAGTTTCAATTTTCATTTATTTATTTATTCTTTTTTTTTTTTTAAAAAAAAAAATCTTTAGAAGAAAAAGGAAATAATACGGAGTAATTAATTATCAATTGGAAATTCCAAAGGGTTCGTTTGGCATCATTGTAGTTTTTGTTTTTTGGTTTTTTGTTTTTTTTAAATCATATGATATATATCATGTAATGAATAAAAAATTAGTCAAATTTATTAAAATTATCATAATTTTGAAAACTGACAACCAAAAAATGGAAACATCTTTTTCTTGTTTCTTGTTTTTGGTTTTTAGTTTTCAAAAAAACAGAAAACGGAAAACTGAAAACAAAAAACAATGTCAAACAAGCCCAAACTATTTGATTGAAATTTTGAATTGGGGTTTCATATGATTCAATTCATATTTGTTATAGAGGCCGTCCAAATTTTGCATTTGATATTTGTCTAATGACAATCTTGTAATTAATTAATCGTATTGGTTTTCGCACTAAGGGAGAGTGATTAAATGTCATTACAAACAACAACAAAAGAATAAATCCTTATTTATTCCCTTTCTCTTTTGTAATTACCCCATACCAAACCCCACCTAAAAGAGGGGAAATGATTTTGGCACACCAAAATTGATTTTGACGTACCTCTATGTGAGAGCACAATTTTTTTTTCTCTTCTCACACAGGGATGTGCTAAAATCAATTAAGGGTGTGTCAAAATCAATTTCCCTAAAAGAGTAAATGTATATATTATATACCCTATACCACAAGATCCACGACTTTATTTAAAGAAAGTGAACAAAAACTTTATGATAATTACTTGATTACGCTTTAGGCTAGCACTCCTTTGGTAACTTGGTAAGCTTGGCCTGACTTTCTTACCTCTCCTCAATAGTCCCCATATACAGAGTAAATTGTTAGAGTGAAGACTTGAAACACAGACATACTTCATTCAGTCATATAGATTAGTTACAATTTCCAGTTCTGACAACCAAATGAAGCCTGGATATCCAAAAAAAAGTCATTCGGATGTCAGGTAAAAGACATTCAGCTATACATTCTAGTGAATGAATATTCATCATATAACGGTTTAGGCATGTCCGACAGACTTTAATACAAATTCTAATGAATAGAGAAAAAGAAACAGAATGCTTGCATATTAGTTTTTTGCCTACAGCATTGACATCACGTGTCTGCCAGAGGAATTATAATCTGAACAGATCACCATACAAGACATACAGTTGAGGCAAGAAAAATAAAAAATGATCCTCCCCAACTTAGAACGATTTAGGTCTAAGCTTCCTTCTTTTTGGCACGGTAAGGGTACTTTTGATACATTGAGATGCTTGTAATCACTAGGGGAAGAGCCACAAGGCAGTATGGTGAAGGTGGTATACCATCAAAAATGAATTGCAGCAAGGCTGTCACAAGAAGCGCAGAAACAATGACAAAACCCTGCAAAAACATAAAATGAAGTGAGATGTTAAATCTTTTCAGTGGCAAGAGTCTGATACAAATTAGGCAACGAGGACCAGTTGACATAAAACCAGGAAGCTAATATAAAGCTGGAATAGTGAAAAATAGTGCGGTCTATATGCAAATAAACTCGTTCCGACCCAACAAAATAACGTTCTCCTTATTCATTATATTTTTAAGTTTTTTAATATGCAAATCTTACTAAAAACAAACTTCAAAATGGTTCACATGAAGCCGATGAAGGTATTCTTTCCATTTACAAGCCTATGGGAAGGTGGTAATTTAGAGCCTAAAGCTAAACAAAAGTCTTCCCAATTACCCATCAAATTTTTGCTCCAATGGGTCTCAGTAACTTCACAAACACAATAATATTTACTATCATGTAAATGACAATACATTATTATTTAAAAAAATAATAAAAAAAAAAATACTGATTAAAAATAAGTTTTCTTCAATCTAAGCAAACTTGCCTTCCTGACACCACCAGCATAAGTTGTGACAAGCCCAACAAGAATTCCACCCAGGGCATTTGCTACTACAGGGACCTGAAAGAATAAAAAGAGTAAAATTTCATGTCACAAATGTTCATGTTCATAATGATACTGTGCCATTGAGCTTTGCACTAAAACAAATTAATAATAATAATAATTTTGCCATTGAACTCTTAGCTCACACAACATCAAGGCCACCTTATGCAGCGCACCAGGATTCATATCCTGGCTGGCTAGCCTTACTTGTGATAAGAAAAAGAGAATGTAATGGCCAACAGGGAATGGCCAAGTCTGCTCAGCCCAAGCCCTGGCCAGCAGGAAACAGGTAAATGAGGGGGGACGTAAATTAAAGTATAACAGGTGAATACAGAAGGCGGAACCTTTTCATCTAAACATCAACATGTGGTTACATCCATCCCAACATTGTAAACATAATAATTTGATGGACTTCAATCAAGTACATCTTAAGAGATGGGAAGTGTTATTTTGGATTTAGTGAAGATTCAGGGCCAATGTTCTAAAAATAGATAACGTTGGTGAATTGAACTATCATTTTACTTATTGCTACGATTTCAGAATGTAATTCCTAGGCAAAGAAGAAGCGTAACTGATAATACATTAAGTAGCCGAGGACAAAAGAAGATACCAGAGTTAAAGGAGTCCATCCGTAAAAGAAGCCATGCTTTCTCATAGCATATCCATCAGGGGACTGGGACAAGCTGGCCAACAGGCACAGGCTTCCGAAAATTGACATCTCTATGGTCATCAAATATGAGGAGTGTTTCTTGACCTGAAAAGATTAAACAAATATAAATCAAGATCAAAAAGAAGTTCAAGATACCTGAGTGACAGAGAAGCTAAAGATACCTGAGAAGCCCATTGACACAAAGAAGAAGCTAGACCTGAAAGCACAGAGGCTATCAAGACAGGAACAATTCCGTAAAATAGCACTTCTTCGGGATTCCCGCTTTTAGAAGCTTTGCTTGTGCCTTCACCAATGCTTAAAAGTACAGCAGCAAAGATCAAAAGGAATAGAGCTCCAATTTGTTGAATTGATTGTTTTTGCCTGTAAATGATTGCAATCAGGAATTTGAGCTATCCAAAATAATCAAAGGTCCACGACACAAGGACTGCAATATATAATTTTAAGAGGTAGTATTATTCTATCTATCTCAACAAAATCTAAGCCTTTGTTACAAAGAACCTTTTGTGTAATAAGAGTACTTGTGCCTGATTTTCTTACACCAAACAAAGTGACATTAAGAAGTTCAAAATTGACCAAAAAGAATCAAATGCCCTTACAATAGCAAAGTCCAAGGATCAAACCCTTGGATCAACACCCCATTGCTCCCAAGCAATGGAAATCAAACATCTAAGGGACTCCACAAATGATTGAAGGACTCAAAGAACAAGTGAGGGTGTTGTGGGCATACCAGAAATGGCAAAAACACACAACTAGACCACTCTAATAGTCCAATATAACCAAAATCCTTTAGCTTGAAAAGTAAGCTGCCCCATAAATTACCACCACTCCAACTACAAGCCACAAAGTACCCATTGTACCCTTTTTTGACTCGAAAAAATCAGAAATAAGATAGGCACTAACATTGCTTACTGAAATCTTACCTTAATATCATATACCCAAAGAAGGCTGTGAAAAATAATTTTGTCTGGTTTAGCATTGAAAATGTAAGGGAGTCAAGATTTTTGTAAGAAATCTGAAGTAAACTATTCTGCAGTGCATAGATCGCAGCTGGGAGTCCAGAAAAGGTCAATGCCCTGAGTAAAGACCAATCTTTGCATAATTTATTCAAGCTACCATTGAATATGAGGACCGTGAAAGCACATATAACCTGAAGGATAAAAAGAATTCAGGATCATAAAATAATACAATGTCATGGTGGAAAGCTAAAAATACAGTAATTGGATCACCTTTGCAACTTCACATGCCAAAACTGATGAAGTCACGATTACATCTCGCCTACAAGAAAAACCAACATTCAACAAGTTGATACAAGTGAAGAAAAATTATGGAGACTGGTGAAACAACGATAGCTTTGTAGAGTGTTTAGACAGAACTTTGTTAGCTGCATAATTTAAATTGCATACTAAACAGCACCAAGTGCTATGGTCATGACATGATACAGAGTCTGACTTGGAAATGGGATGCGATGTTTCCATCAAAATTTGGGATTTGCTGTTTTGGCTAGAATTTTTGAAAAATATGTGGGAAAATGACCAAACCAAACATAGACATCGATACATGACAATTACTAAAACTCATAAACTATAAACTGATGAGATTGTATAAGTTAAGCCCCCCCCCCCCCCTTTTTTTTTTTGACAGAAGACCTTGTTTTGTTCATTTAGCTTTTGAACCTCAAGTATGAATTTGGGAACATGATGAACCAATTTAGTCTTTTGAGTTTTGATTAGTTAAACTTCTATGGTCTATGATAATTTTATATAAATAAACGAAAAATGAAAATTAAGGTTTGGTGCTATTTGACAAAATGCCAGGCCGTAATATTATCTATAGGCTTATGTTTAACTCTGTCGTTAACACTAAATCAGTCCCAACCACCCCCAACTTCAAAGTTTTTTCCTCCTTATTTGAAACATGCAAGTAAAAGCACATTTTGCACCAAACTTACATAGATTTGATTTAAGAGCATCATGTATATGAGCTAAATTGACCTATATCACACTGACAAAAGTACAATATAAGACAGCACCCCAATTATGTAGTAATGGTGCCATCCATTACCCTACATGAAAATTAGTCAAGATGAGTTAGCCTAGCGGCTAAATTTTATCCCTATCAATGTTAAGGTTTAGTATGGGCTATAGATAAAATTCACTGCCGAGCACAAGCCCACATAGTAGGAAAGTCTGACCACATACAAGCTCAACCAAGTTCCATCCTTGAACAAATAAGTGGCTAACTGATAAGTGGAGAACCCTGCCAATCTTATATGTTAGTGAATCTTTCTCTCCTTTTTCAACAGTCTCAACTCACATTTGAATTATTTTCCTAACATAGATTGCACAATTCAAAATCATGTGGGTTATTTCAAGTAGCTATATAACACATTTAAAATTTACATTAATTACCATATATGTCTCACTGTGAATGCCAAAAAATGCCCATTAATGGCATGCGTTGCACCCCAATCGGTATTTGATGGGGGTGCACCCAAGCTCTAGTTTAGGGTTTCGAAGCCAACTTTGCCTTTAAAATTCATGGTAGTATGGTACGTTGAACCAGATAGGACAGTATAATTGGATTGAGGAAGAACATTGTCTGACATTCAACAAAGAGCCTGCCGACCCAGTACTTTTCATATGTTTATATATATTCTCCAATGGATAATTCAACCAAGTATGTTCTAATTGAACCAACATTATATCAGCAGGTAAAATCATACAAACAATTTTTAAAAAACTGTAAAATTACCCATCAACTAATTCTAAAATGTGACACAAAATAAAATTCCAAATTAAGAATTCAGCCCCAAATTCCAATTACCATCTACTATGGCATATAATTCCTAGATAAAAGACAGTATGTAATCAAAACAAATACCACTAACAAAATTATAAATAAAAATTCAAAGGAGGAGAGAGAAACCCGGTAAAGCGCTTGGAGATCAAAGGCTGAGAACCATATTGGAGAGTGAGCAAAGCAGAGAAAATCCATATTTTTTTCTCAGAGCTTTCTCTCTCTTCTCTAGCGGTTGACGTGTTGGAGGTGTTTTCTTTGGTGGAATCCATCTGAGGGCCACCCGCGCCAAGTCCTGGAAATTTAGAATTGATGCGATTGGGTGCCGATGTACGCTTTTGCCTTCTATAGTTAGAGACCTTGAGTAAAGTAAAGGCACTCTAGATTTGAAATAACATGTTTTTGGAGGTCTTAATCTTTGAATGAGGAAAAGATCATTCCACTTTTCGAAAGTGTCACCAATACAAATGACATTTATTACACAGTATTAATTTAGAAAAGCATGACAAAATTACATGTAGATTGTTGTAATTAATGTTCATTTTCATTTAATCTTTCAACTTTTAGTCATCTTATCCAACGCTCTTAGGCGTACGTTAGCTTTTGCCTAATTATAAGTATGTTATTTGACTTTTATTTTTTGTTTATCTTGGATTTATGAAGTTTTAGTTTCTCTTATGATATGATGAAATGAAAGAATGAATTGTTACAAAATTAAACATGATCTTATCGTAATAAAGAAGACGATTATTCATTTCTAAATAGTTTTGGGTCTATCTAAAAATTCTTCATTTGTGGTATCAACCAGATCAATATGTTATTCGATGAGACCAAATGTGATTTTACTAATGCCTCAATGCGATATACAAAAGTTGAGTGCATTGTGGACTCGTGATTTGTAAATACAGTTATCACGAAATTCAACTTGAATCATTATGACAACCCATTTACCGAGCAAAACTTGATCTAGTGGTAAGGTTTGTATCTCCCAACCTTGATGTGATGATTCCCTTACCCCCCCAACTCCCAAAGTATCTAGCCTAATAACCTGAATTCGATGACCTGTCAGAAGTTTTGGCTCGATAGGGTCAATAATCATCCATCCAAGAAATATAAAGCTAATCTAATATAAGGTAAGTTGAGTGATCATTCAAAATTGGTTCGATTTGACTCACTTTGATAACTCTCTTTCTATTAATGAGTACATTTTTTTATTTATATTTTCTAAACAACCAAACACAAAAAGCTAAAATGAGATGAAACCAGCACAGGCTTGAGCCTGATCTCGTAAACGAATAGATATCACCAATGATTTATTAAGACTATGTTAAAATTTTACCAACTCGAGAATGCTTTTTAGTAATTAAAGTCCATTGATTTTCTAAAATCTCTATTACTCAATATAATTCACCTATTTGCAAACTCACTTTATTTACATCAAATATTAATAAATAGATAGATAACTTATTTAAACCATACATGAAACAAAATTAACAAGAAACTCATGCATAATTTGGCGTATTAAACAAACTATCTAAATGTCTACAACTTACAATCTCAACCAATACAACCATTGGTACGATGCATTTGTTTGAAAATAAAACAGATTATGTGTAAGAAAAGATTTCTCGAAACAAGTAAGGCTTGACTCACTTGATAAGACTTATTATCTCATATCTTAAAGAAATTTAAAGTTCAAATCTTTCAATATATTTCCTCCGTTTCTATTTAGTTGACGTGTTTGATTTAGGGACATATATTAAGGAGTGGAGAGAGAGTGATAGAAAATGAAAAAACAAGTGGAGTAGCTTGTAAATCCAAAATAAATAAATTACCCCAAAAGAAAACGTATCAATAAAAAAAATTTCCTAAAGAAACACATGTCAACTAAAAAAAAAAGGTAGTAAAAGTATTTGAGGACAGGTTTCCTTACCTATCCCTCCTCCCTCCTACCAAACACCCCGATAAACTAGAGTGACTAGGTAATATTTTCCATAAAGCTATAACCACTAGCAATGGTCAAGGTTAAGGGGCGCTGAGCCGCTCACTAAAAGACAATTTCACACTTGAGAGTGGAGACAGAATCTAAACCCTCTCCTCATCCCAATTGCCTTATTTTAACGAAAAAAGGTCCCACAAAAAAAATTAGAGTTGCCAAAAAGGCAAAACCCTAGTTTTAGACCAAAAATAAAAAAATGAAATGAAAAAATAAAAAAAAATAGAATCTTTGTGATTCCAGTAATCATCAACGGCTCCGATTGGCAGGGTTATATATCCTGCACCATTTTAGCATCAGAGTACCTTCATTTTTTCTGACTTGGTAATAAATTAAATAACAGAGTAATAAGAGAGAGAAAGTTAGAGAGAGAAAGTAAGTGAGAGAAAGAAGCCGCCATCATCATCATCATCATGTGTGGCATACTTGCCGTCTTCGGTTGTCTCGATACTTCTCACATTAAGAGGTCTAGAATCATCGAACTTTCTCGGAGGTATTGCATTGTTATTTTCACCGTTTTTTTTAGAGAATAATTTGTTTATTGTGATTGGGAATTTATTGGTTTGATGATATGAAATTAGGCATTTTCTGTTAATAATGTTGCCAGTAATAGACAATTAGTTTTTTATTAATTATATGACCTTTTTTATTTTTAATGGATTTATAATTGCAATGTAATGCACTAAGGATGATTTTGTTATTTTTTACGTGGTAATAATGTTGAATGTATGTGACATTTTGTTAAATTGTTTCTGGGAGATTATTAAGAATTAGGATGTTCATGAATCATGAATTATGGGTGAGATTGGATTGTTTTAAATTGGCATATCTCTATTCCGAATTGTGAGAAGTCGGATAAGGAAGAAGTGTTTGGCAGTGAAGTTGATGAGGTGAGATAGAAGTCATGTCAATGAAAATGACTATGAGAATCTTGATTCGTTGAATTATAAAAACTTCACTCGTGAGACTGATTGAGAGTGTCTGCGGCTGGTTTTGATTCTTTTTAGCTTATTTCAGATAGTTCAGATAAGATAAGTTCAGTTTGTTGATTGAAATACACCTCTAGGGTGTGTTTGGTATGGTTAAAGGAAGAAGGATGGAATGGAATCCACTGAAGGAGGGAAAGGGTAATGATAACCATTACTTTTATACATCGTTTGTTATTGCAATAGAATATAATGGATTCAATTCATTCAAATGAGTTATAGAGAAGGGAGATTGAGGAAAGTAACACAATTTGTCACTGGTGGGTTGGAGAGGGTAATAAGTGAGCCGACAAAATTATCTTTGGTCGGGAAATTGATACCATACCCCTCAAATCAATCAACCTATGCTAGAATTACTTGAATGATCATGTTTCCAGCTCTTAAAATCTACATGCTACACATGATCAAATATGCAGGGGTTAGAGGGCTTTGTTGATTCAAAATGATTAAAAACAGATATTAGTGGATGATGAATTCCACCTAAATTGAGAAATGGGGCTTTTAAGTGGGACAAGAGTTTTAGTTGAAATGAGGTTGTCTAAGGGAGGGAATAGTACTTCTGCCCGTATCTGTTTTTTCACACCAATGCCTGTTCTGTTTTATCCCTATTTTGTGTGAGATGCGATGGTTTACTCAAGAAAGTTTGTTGTTAGTACATAGTATATCATGAACTTGTTTACCTATTCATCATGTCTTTCTTTGTGTGACAAGGACACTATAATCAGTGTATAAATTTGCCTGATTGTTAGTCTTCTGTTAATGATAGGTTACGTCACAGAGGCCCTGACTGGAGTGGCATACACTGCTTTGAGAATTGTTACCTTGCTCATCAGCGGTTAGCTATTGTTGATCCCACTTCGGGAGATCAGCCTCTTTATAACGAGGACAAGACCATTGTTGTCACAGTAATTTAACTTTCCATCTGATTTTTTTTTTTATTTATAAATAAATTAATATAGAAATGTGTATCAGTGATTATTTCACATATCATTGCCTTTTTGGAATGATGTGAAGTTTATTACTAAGGAACAATATTTCTGTTTCATCATCTTCATCTTCAATCTGTAATATGTTGTAGCTTGTATATATTATTTATTGTTAGATGCAAAGTATGCACCCAAGCATATATATCTCCTTTGTTGTTAGTTTTCTGAAATCCAGCATCAGGATGCATGGATTATCAACTATTAGATTCAAATTACACACTTAAGCATAATTAACTCAGCCTTTATATGATACATAGAGTATTTATCATTGTCAGGTCAATGGAGAGATATACAACCACAAACAGTTACGAGAGGAGCTGAAGCTGAAGTCACATCAGTTTCGCACTGGTAGTGATTGTGAAGTAATTGCTCACCTTGTAAGTACCTTAATGTTATGTACTCTTTCTTGTTGTTTACCATCCTAACACTCACCAAATTTAATTTGAAAATACTTGGTTATGGGACATTGGATCCTTGAATGTGAGCTCCTTTTTTTTTTCTTTTTTTTCTTTTTTTCTTTGGCAGTATGAAGAATATGGGGAAGAGTTTGTGGATATGCTCGATGGGATGTTCTCCTTTGTACTTCTTGATACACGCGATAAAAGCTTCATTGCTGCTCGTGATGGTATTGGAATTACCCCACTGTACATGGGTTGGGGTCCTGATGGTACGCCAAATTATAGTATATGTTTCATTGATTCATTATGGTGGTGATGCAATCTTATGATGCTTTGCTGATTGCTTTGATGTCTTTAAATTTAAAGCTTTAACCTCCACTTTGTTATGATGTTTTAATTGTGTGATACTAGCTGTCATTCATATACATTATGGGCATGCTATCCTATAATTGCTTTTCCTCTCAAGAATATTGACTATTACGACTCTTTTGGGTTGACCTTTGTGTTCTTTTGTCCTCCCTCCTCTCTCCCAATTACAAAAATGTAGCAGTAGCTACAGATACTTTTATCTTTCACAGTCATGAGTTTATTTACAATAAAAATGTTTTCTTTGCAGGGTCCATTTGGTTTGCTTCTGAGATGAAGGCCTTAAGTGATGATTGTGAGCGATTTATCTCTTTTCCCCCAGGACATATATATTCAAGCAAACAGGGTATGCTATTATCTAGTTCGTAGACTATCTTGGCTAAGATGTGATTCAAATTTAAAGATTAAGGATTAACGAATTTAATACTGTTTCATTTAACGCGTTGCAGGCGAGTTAAGAAGGTGGTACAACCCACCATGGTTCTCAGAACAGATACCTTCAGCTCCATATGATCCAATAGTTTTACGTGAAGCTTTTGAAAAGGTATATTATAAATAATAATCAACTTTCTCTATCTATCAGTACTTAATATCTCGACGTTTTTCCTTTGTCCCTCACTTTACTACACAGCCTTTTTTT